GTAAACTTTTTTTGGAATTCTAATGAAATTTTCTGAAGAGCAACGCGTCATGACGTTTGCGATATATAAAACAGTCTAAATGTTATAATAAATATATTATAATTGTATTATTTTGATATATTAATAATTTATAATAAATGTATTATAAACGTATTGTTTAAAATATATTAATAATTTATAATAAATATATAATATATTATTAATAACAAACAGAGACAGTGTTATATTCCCAGTTATATCTGATATGTAAATCGACTGCTCCGCTTGCTCGCTTCAGACTTTTACATGTGAGTGAGTGCATTTGGTCTACTCTATCTTCTTTAGTATTAAAGTTGAAGAGGGTGACCTCATCCTTGTCTTTTCCTGTTTTGTTGAGTGTAATTTCGAATCCCGTACCTTCATGTTTTGAAGAAAAGTCGTTTTGTTTGTCTGATAAAATGACACTAACAGCGCCATCGCCGTTCAGTTGCTTGAAAGGAATGACGATATCCACTGATGTTTGGTCTGTAATCTAAATGTAAGACTATACTAGTAAGAAATAGTAAAATAACTATAAATAACTAGAACAAACTTCTTTTTGGCAATAAGTCGAAGCGGATGGATTTGTAATAGTAAAAACGTTCATTTCATTCTCAATATTACTTTTCACATAAAGCTCGTTAGTTTCTAACATAGAAAGAGTACTATCCGCTTTCTTTTCATATTGCATCGAAAATTTTGATTGTTGCCGTCTCAGAAAAGGCATACGAGAAGCACTCAGGACAACTAGACTGAGAAATATCATGCACATCTCAATACTATATTTGAAAGTTCTTGAATTGTTCGACAAACTAAAGAGACTCATCACTGTATTATTAATTATATTAAATTTTATTATATATTTTACTTTTTAAACAATCGAATTCTAATGTGTTACATATATAGTACATTGTTATCAATTCCATACTGATTAAATTAGTATTGTATTTATATATATTTATTAAATAAAAAACTAGTAATCAAATTAAAGAAATAGTTGTTAAACTTTTTCAATTGTTTTTTTGAAATTCCATTATCGTCGAACAAAATTCAAGTAGTCTAATAAACAGGAAATCTTGAATTTATTAACTAAATTTCCCGAATTTCATAATTTTATCAATTATATTAAATTACACAGCCCAAAAAGTGAAAAATACCACAAAATGTCTATATATATCCCAGTTAAACGAGTCAATAAAAAAATACAAAAATATTATAATTAAATTTAATAATAAATTATTCAAAATAATTCCAAATTATTCTAAATTAATAACAATCTAAACGAATTAATAAAAAAACAACACAGAAAACAAGTTGAAGAGATAGTAATGATTCTATGACAGATTCTATGACATGAGCTTGCAAACAATCACAGAAATATTATCACCACATCCATTGTTGTATGCTATATCTCGAATAGATGACGCAATCACCCAAGCAGCCTCATTACTCATTCTTCGACAGATATCACCAACTACTTCATTCGACAAAATGTCAAACACCCCGTCACAACATAACACGACACACACATCATCAACACCCCTCTCAACACAACTGATTTGTGGTTGACACACACATACAGAAGAACACGTCAAATCTCCAAGTGTCCGTGTCAAGACAACTTCCCCGTTCACTTTATTGTGATCGATGAACCCGTCCGCCTCGCGAATTCGGTGGAGTTCGTCCGGGTTCGAAATCGTGTGGTCTTCATTCACTACAACTAACGACCGCCGACGAACTATCAGACATCTCGAGTCTCCAGCGTTCGCCACAAAGTACTTCTGTGGGGTGACTAACACTACATTCGCGGCACTCCCGTCTTTGAATTTGGAATTTGTTATTCGCTGTAAATAAATACTCAATGAATTCTTAAATAGTATAATATACTATACTATACTATAATATAATATTGTATAGTATTATATTATAGTATATACTATTATTAGTATTATACTATTAAATAAAATAAAATAGTATTATGTAGTTATAAATAGAAACAAACCGTATTAATCTCAAGGAACGTATTTGATAGCCCATCCTCTATAGACGTCTGAGTGTTCTTCCCTAAGATACTCGCAAAGCACTCTGGGAACTGTGAGGCGCAAAATCGGGAACAATCTGTTCCTGAATGGCCATCAAAGATCGACATGTAGTGAAAGCCAACACCTAAAAAGTTGGTGATGGCTACTAAAGTGTCTTGCATCGAGTCACGCCGCCCACACATATTGGTCGTCCCCATCTCGACAGGACATTCACACGAATTCTCTTCGAATTGTGGCGCCGAAAGGGGAAGCTTGAGTTGGTTACAATAGGCGTTTTCAAGGAAGAGTAATGGCGTGTGAATGATTGTTTGTGGACGGTTTCTGTCGCGCTTCTCGGTGTTAACATAGGAGATCTCAAAGATCTTCATCTTCTTCACTGATACGATTTCTAAAGGGTATTGGACACACGGCACAGTCCCTGTAAAACTGACATCCTCCAATTTTTGAAGTAACGACAAGTTGCTTGGGATCGTCAAATTCCGGTTGAACGCAAGTGACAATGACTTCACGTTAGAAAGTTGGACGACTTGGTCTGCCGAAATCAGGTTGTTGCACCCCAAGTCCAGTACCACTAGATTTTCCAATACTTCTTATTAGTATAATATATAGTATAATATAAATAAATATATATGGTAAAATATATAATATTTAATATATTTTAATATATTATAAAGTAAAATTATATAAATATATATAGTATATAATAAAGTATAATTAATATAGTATAATTTTAATATAATTTTAATATAAATATATAAACAAACGACTAAGGTTCTTTGGAAGGTCAGAGATATAGTTACACGTAGCAAAAAGGTTCGTCAACTTCTTGAGCTTCAAAATGTCTTGAGGGAACTCTGCGAATTTGTTATGAGAGATATTCAACTCGAGTAACCCGTTTAACTGTGTGAGTGAAGTTGGCAAAGTTACGAGATTATTTAAAGCGAGTTGGAGGTGTTGTAAATGGGGGATGTACTGAAAAAGGGAACTTGGGAGTTGGCTGAGGGCGTTGTTACTTAAATTCAATTTGAGTAAATGGGAATAATTAATTCCCTTTTCTGGGAAGACAGAAATTCTGTTAGAAGCCAAGTTGAGTGATTTTAAGTCTTGGTGGAGTCTATTTTGTTCGACGTTGTAAATGACGTTGTTTGTTAAGTCCAACTCGGCAATAGTTTTCAAATCAGCTGTATTTGGCACTCTCTGCAAGAAGTTGTCTTTCAATTTGAGAGAAGCGACGGAGTCGTTAGCTGTGCAGTTCAACGCTTCCAATCGATTTCTTTCAAACATCAATTCGCAGTTGTCCACGGTGAATTCAGCCTTGGGCATCATAGAGTCTGTTATCATGATGTCGTACAAGTTCGGGAGTTTCCTGAGGAACTTTGGGAATTTCGTGAGACGACTGCGGACGATGACAAGTGAGTTCAAATTTGTCAAATGGGTGATTTCCTCTGGAATGTCCTTCAGCAAACAGTCCGTGAACGCAATGGATTTCAAATTCGTCAAATTTGATATTTCCGTTGGAATCGTTTGGATCAAGTTATCGCCAAATTCAATCGAATACAACTGGGTGAGCGTCAAAACCTCCTTTGGAATGTGCGTGAAGTTGTTGTGGAGGAGTTTCAGTTGGTTCAAATTCCTCATCCCGCCTATCCCATTTAACTCAGACAAATAGTTGTAACACAGCCACAGCGTTTTGATCGAATACAGTTTCCCTAAGACCCCCGGAAATTGAGTGAACTTGTTATTACATAAGTCGACCTATTCATTACTATAAATTTACTATAAATTTACTATTAAACAAACAAATGTCAGTTTGGTCAGTGTCGAGAGACTACTTGGAAGGTCTTTCAGGCGATTTGCAGTGATTGTCATATTGACCAAACTCGTCATCTTCGACATCTCATCGGGAAGACTCTCGATTTTGTTCTGCCCTAGAATGATCTCCTGTAAATTGCTCATCTCACCTATTCGACTCGGCACTATGGAAATCGAGTTGTTCGACAAATCAAGAGTCTTCAGATTCTGAAGACTTAAAAGCACCTCGGGAACCTTCGAGAGTAAGTTCCCTCTGAACCGGACTAGTGTCAGTGCAGTGAACTTCCCGAAATTCAAGTCAAGTTCCTTCAAGTCAATTTTACTATTTGGTTTAGTTTGAATTACTATTATTTATAGTATCGTTGCATGACAAACTCTGATGTTATTAAGACTCAAGTCTAGCATTTTCAAGGTGCGGTATTGCCTAAAAGCGTCTTGTGGGACCGCGTCGAGTCCTTGAGATTTCATTACAACGGTATTAGGAGCCTGTGACATTGAAATGAATATTTTGATCTTAAAAAAGAACTTTTGTTGTTTCTTTGTCTACTGAAAAACGTACTGCAAGAACGGGACTTGTGAAATGGGAAACTGGTTTAGCTCTTTTCACTTAAACAAGTGGACTGACATTTTTTAAATTGAAATCTGGCTCTAAAAGCTCTCTTTTCCCGATATTGTAGCATTTTTAACGCTTAAATTATATTAATATACTAAGAGTTGATTCTTAGGCTTTTTCGTTGTTTAAGGCTAAGTCGAGTATTTATAAGTTGATCATTTTTAAGGCATTTGGATGATTTTGGTCGTATTCAAATTTTTTTATAAAAAATATTGCAGTGGATAATAAAATTATTTTAATAAAATCAATCAGTCATCAAATAACTTTGTTCAACAGATGGGTAAAAAAGATGTAAAAATATAATTATGCCTAGCACGCTTTTGTAAAAGCTAAATTAACAATATTGCTGTACATTTTTACGAAAAAAAGATCAATAAATATCGGGAAATCTCCGAAAGAATAGGTAATATACTTTTTACTCTGTGAGTTTTGAAATAAAAATTTATATTTTTTGGAAGCAAAAGTTGAAAACTTTTTTTTCGTTGTTTCTTCACCGAATTGTTGTTATTATTGAAAAGCATTACAGATAGTGTATTTACAGGGTGCCAGACTTATTTTAAGAAATGAAATAAGTTAGGCATTGACTATCATATCAAATATTTTTGAGAAAAAAGTAAATAAAAAAATTAAACCCGTATTTTTACATTAATGAATCACATTATTTATTGGCACCCATTAAATACTTTATTTCTATTTTTTTGTAATATGTTTTGTTGTTTTACTTACCATAGAAAAGCAGTATATATTGAAATATTTCAATTAATGACTTTTATATTAAAATGAAGTGATAAAATATATATCATATTTTAAAAATAAATGATTTAAAACTGAATATCTTCAACAAATTTATATTTCCACTTCCATATCGTTTGCAAGTGAGATATAGTGCTATGTTTTATCACACTTGTTGTTATTATTTTTATTACACAAAAACATGCTTGTAAATTGAGAACTAAAGTTGTTGTTATAATTCGTAATTTATTGTTTATTGCCCATATCCACCTTTCATTTTTGATAATGTTTATGTTGTTTTAATTTAAAAAAAATATAAGTTTTAAAGTAACACTTAATATGTTTTAATAGAGAAATGTCACTTGTGAAACGTGAAAATATATTAATATCATAAGTTGTTAAGAAGAGACCATTATCGATTTAAATGTTTAATCAATCAATAATAGTTATTCGAGACTTAATATAGAATGCATTTATTGACACAACTTTTATTTATCAAACATATATTTGGAAATGTTTTACTAATGTACATTTAAATAAAATGTTTAAGCGATTTCTTTTCAATATTCATTCATGTCTTCTGTTATTATTTATTAAATTATCAGTTCTATTGGTATAATCAACACACACGAAAAACGTTCAAACAAAACACATTTCAACATCAAATTCTTTCAAAATTTCTTAGGTTTAAATTTAGTTCCTGTCTCATTAATATCGACCTTCACGTCTCCATTTTCGTCCAATTTGACTTCAGGCTTTACGTCAGTTTCGAACTTAAAAGTTGGTCCCGACTTTTCTTTCACGTCTTTATTATTTCTCTTCATGTCGACATCAAAGCATCCATCTTCTCCTGGCTTTTTCCCGACATGGTATTTAGTCTCGACGCACCCCAAATCGTCACAGACGACGGTGTCTTGATTTTTCAATTTTGGCTTCACTTTCAGTCCCAAGTCGATTTTCCTCTTTCCATCTTCTTCGACGATCTCCGGTCGGAATTCTGTCTCCACCGCGACTTTCATATCAAATTCGGCATTTTCGTCCCCAGTCATCCGTACAGCAGCTTTCTTCTTCCCTTCTTTCTCAGCAACTTTGAACTGTTCGGAATGATAGACTTCCTTCCCAACTACCTTCGCTTGCCCTTTCGCAGCTTTCCACTCCTCAGTCTCCTTCGCTTTGCTGTACGAACTCTTTGCAGTCACTTTTGCCTCGCCCATGCGTTGTTTCATCCCAGCTTTTTGGTCGGCATCAATTTTGGGGACTTCCTTCTTCGTCGCCTTCCAGCACTCACCCGCACTCTCGCCTTTGATCGCACAAAGCGCACCAGAGGCTAGGCCAGAACAAAGACCTTTTGCCTGTTTTGAAGTGGCGACTGCTTTGGCTGCGCTTGCTGTTTGGTGTGAAGCTTGTTTGAACTCTTCTGTTTTGACGGCTTTTTTAGCGCCAGAGTACGCTGTTTTTGATGCTTGAATAGATTGTTGTTTCGCAAACTCTTTTTGTTCGGCAGTCATTGGAGGAAGCTTTTTGTAGACCTCGACGGTATCTCCAGCAATGTTCTTGGCCATTTCAGTTTTATTTGTTTTGGGTTTGGCGTTTTGTCCATCATCGTCACAGTCTTGAACGTCTCCGTCAGGTTCGATCTGCTCACAACAAGTACTTTGAGACTCAAACGTTTCACTTTGGTGCACTGGATGTGTTGTGCTTATTTGATGTTGTGGAATATCACTACCAACTCCTTGGACTTGTTCACTTGACTTGAATGAAGTCGGTTTAAATGGAACAACTTCGGATTGTTTTTGAGGAAGCTTTGGAGGAAGAGATTTATGTGGAAGTTTTGGAGGTTCGGTGGTTTCTTTTACTCTGTGTGGCAATTGTGGTGGTTGTTTTTGTTCGACATTTCCGTTTAAATTTTCAACCTCTTGTTTTTCGTCTGAAGTGAAATCATATAATTCTGGAATTCGTTGGGGAAGCTTAGGCGGAGCTTTTTGGGGAATTTTTGGAGGAACTGGATTTTCTGGAATTTCGGTCTTTAAATTTTCGAATTCCAAACTGTCGATTTGTTGTTGTTGGTTGACTTCTTTATGTGGGAGCTTTGGGGGAAGTTGTTTATGCGGAGGTGGTGGAGCTGGTTTTTTGTTAGGTGGTGGGGCCTGGCCTCCAATAGTGAAGCTTGTTTTGTTGAAACTCATGAAAAAATATAGTGGGATGGGTTTCTTTTTTTAATTTATTAATTTCAACCAATTTTCGAATTTTCGAATTTTTTTTTATTTTGTCATTTTTTATATTCTATCATAAAAGTATTAAATAAATGGGTTTTTAAAGCAATAAATTATTATTATAATTAAATATAATCATTTTTGCAACGTATGTTTTTTTTCAATTTTAAACTATAATCTTTTTAATCATAAAACAATTAATTAATTCATTCTAATTAATATTAATGTGTCTTTTGTTTAAATAATCGGGAATTCAATAATAATATAATATTGATTAGTTTTGGTTGATGTTGGAATTAATTCATATATTATAATTAAAATATAATATAAATAGTATCATAACTTTGATGCAAAACTTTTTAATACATTAAAAATGGTTACGAGAGACTTATTACTCTTTTAAAAATAAAAAGAAAATGACGTTAAGTTCCTTATGTAAAATACAATGTGAATACCCCTTCACTCTCCAAAAGATTAATGTCTTTTTATCAATAATGCTAATAGTTTTAAATTTTAAACGACTTAGATTTTCATATGTGATACAAGTCCAATTTTTTAATTTTGGATAAAAGTCACCCAAAATCAAGTGTTCAAACTGACGATAATTTGTCATTTTGATTATTGACCTTCAGTTTTCATAATAAGTGTTGTTTTTATAGCATACTTCTAAATACTATATTAATGATAATAATATTAATTGAATAAATTGATAAAAAATTTATATATGAACATAACTAGTCAACCTTTTTTGGTCTGTAAGTTGTTGTAAAAAACCAATTAACACAATTTGCTTTTGAATAAAATATTTACTCTGATTTAACAATTAACACTTTAAATAACATTGAACAAAATTCAAGTGGTTTAAAAATCGGGGAAATGTTGAGTTTATTAAATAAATTTCCGTTTTTTTAGAGTTTGTATTTTGTGCATGAACTATACACAAGTCAAAAAAAGGAAAACCATCAAAAATGTGATTAATATCCCTGAAAAAACAGGCCAAAACAAAAATCAGGGCGTTATTTTAAGTGTTAAGATTTATGGTTTTTACTATAATAAGTATCCACGTATTGCTTATTAGTAAACAGTAAATTAAAAAATGTGAAGAATAGGATTACAAAGCCATTTTTTGGTATCTAGTAACACTAAAAAAATCAATGTAATGAATAAAAATTGGTAATAAAAAAAATCAAACTACCAATAAAAAGACGAACTCAACACTTTAAACATTCCAAATGAACAAAGGAGCTATCAGAGTTAAACGCCCGAATTCAACCGAATTGGAGTTTATTGGAAACTTTTTGAGTCCAGTCGCAACAATCAAAGAATTGAAAAAGAACGATTTCCTCACTTCACTCGAAGAGCTTCAAGGGATGCGCAAGAAGCGGAGCAACAGTGCCAAAAATATAATGCAAACACAACAAGATGAAGAAGACATACCAGACAGATACGACCAACTTCTTTCTATGGTCAATGAAAACTAACACTGTCTCTGATGACTTATTACATTTGGAACACTTCGCATGTTTAATTAATTTATCTTTAGCTTCTAAATTGATTTTTCGAATTATTTTGATTAATAAGAATGTCAAATATTTTGTGAAAATTGACAAATTATTAACAAACTGTATAAAAATCGCCATTTTGGGATGGACTTCACATTTTAATTAATTCTATTTATTAATTGCGGTTTTTTGTAATTTTCTGTTGTATTCATTTAACTACTGTTTTTGATTAATTTTATAATAATATTACTATTTTGAGAAGTATGATTTTTATCAAAATATTTGAGATATAAATAAAACTCTTTTAATTGTTTTTAATGTATGATTTATTAATTTAGTTATTTTTTGATAATTTTATTATAAATTATTAGTTTTTTAAAAAACGTTTAAATCATAACTGTATGTTTATTATTCGCAAATGTTAACCACTTAATAATTTCAATTAGTATTTTTGCAATTAAAAATATTTTTTTTTACAACTATTAATTTTTGCCCGAGTGTCAATTATTGTTCAATTAGTTATAGTTTTTTATGGTTTAATTTAATTATATCAAATAATAAAAAAAGTTTTGTTGACTTCGTTTTTTGGTTGTTTTATTTTTACAAAAAAACTGTTGGAAAAGAATAAAAGAATTTTATTATATTTGTAGTTTCAAATACAATTTTAGTATAATTACTTCGAAAACAACTATTTCGAAAATAAAAAATGAGTAGTATTTCAAACGGACAAAACTGAATTATAGAAGTATCAACAATTGTAATTTTATTTATTATAGAAATAAAATTCTTAAATATATTGTTAAAATATAGTTAATGAAATCGCAAGCGATGTTTGCCAACAAAAAATTTATTATTTTATAAAAATAGTTTTTTTCGTCAAATTAAAATAATAAAAAAATCAATTTTTTTTCATTCAAAAAGATCTTTTGTTGTTTTAAACAATTTAGTTGTAAACTAAATAGAAAATTAAATTTCGATTGTTCGCCTGACCTAAATCATTTAGAGACTTATCATACAGTAATAAATAATGTAGTCAGTTATGTGTATTATAAAAATAAAACAATGATTTCAAAATAATTAAAAATATTAACATTTTATTATTTTTATCTTATATATAATTGGTTTTGTCATTTGTGTCTTGTATGGACCAACACTGCAAACTTTGATATTAAGTCAATTTTCAGATATAGTATTAAATAAAAAACACTGTCTTGTTATTATAATAAAAGTTAAATCAAACAACAATTATCAATAAATGATTTTATTAGTTATATTATAACAAATCAGACTCTGAACAAAAATCAAAAAAAATATTTTTAAATTATTTTGAATAAATTGAATTACAAATGATTATAATTTGTTTATTATTAAAACATTGTTTAGTTGTATTAATAACAAATTGTTATTTTTTTTCGTTTTTTATCATTATAATAATTGTTTTAATAAATTATTGATAACAATTATATATAATCTATTATCTATAGATGATAATATATACCTAGTTTATCATTTATCACGACTAAGTTTTATAAATTTGTTATTAATTTATAGTTTACCTATTATAATTCGTCAATGAGATAGTTCATTTTACATTAATATCTAACTGACATAATATAAATCAATATAAAAATATATCAAACTTGTGTAATTATAACAACTAAAATTAATGACAATACAAATCAAACTGAAACTATAAAAAGTTACATAAATTATCAATTTACTTTGTTCAAAACTTCCCAATAAATAACACCACAAATACAAAATTGGATAAGTATAATAAAATGATAATAAAGTAATAATAAACTCTACTATTTATTCCAAAAGAAAAAGGAATAACAAGATCATAACATCTCCGTAGATGAGTATTGTGAAGCTTCAGTTTAGTCTTCACGACTATTACGCGAGTCCATCTGTTGCTTTGGATGAGACTTTTCTTTATTTCGCTGAGACCTCTAAAGAAAGTGGCTTAAAAAGTCTAGTCAAAAAAATCAAGTCGAATATGAAAGGGCATACCCTTCCTACGTTCAAGTCTCTATTACTCTTCCATATTATTGAGAAGAATGGCGATACCAATATCTGTCAGAGCTTCACTGATTTGTCGTTTAAGAAGGTCAACAAGGCGAAAAAGATATTGAAAGAAGACACATCAAAACTCTCCTATTGGGCGGAGCTTTATTCAGATGTTGTACAAAAGACTTTAGAATATCACTTGAAGTACATTTTTTTGAACGGATTTTATAAAGTCCCCCAACATGAAAAGATTCCTGAAGACTTGAGAACACTTCCCAAACTCGAAAATATCATTATAGAGACGCGTACACTCTTTAAAGTCGTTGCTGCATTTGTCGACCATTTCTTCGGTAAAAACACTGCAAATTTGTACCTTCAAAAAGCAGTCCAATTCTCGTTGACAGACGTTTTGCACTTATTTAGACTCCTCGTTCACCTTGAAAATTACAAGGCGCTTTTGTCTCAAAAGAGTCTTGACACTGAAAACCTCAAATTGTGTCAGTCACAACTGTCGCTCTTCCAGAAGTCTTTAACAAAGAAGTACATCACCATCCCACCAATAAAAAAGATCCCAAAAATTTCTGAGATCAAATGTGGAACTGCGAAGTATGAGGAATTCGTAGAGCAATTCCCAATACCAAGTAAAGAGGCATCATCGGACTTTATATATACTCCAAGGTTTAAAGCATTACAGGAAAACTGTGGTAACACATCAGACCCATTCTTGACTCCAAGACTTCAATTGCAGAAGTCGAGTGATATGGACTGCCCCCTCTGCCTTGCCTAATTTGTGTTTTGTGGATATTAAAACTCATTTGATACTTCATTTATGTAAAACTCATTGAATATTTCATTATTATATAATTATATAATAATTAATATAAATATTATATTTCATATTTAAAACTCATTTGATACTTCATTTGTATAAAACACATACAATACTTCAATTAAGTCGGGTTTGAAGACTCTGAACAACTTGATCAATTTGGTAGCGCTCATCCGGTCGTGATTTCCAACACTGTTGAATGAGATAAAAATCGTCTTGTGAAACATCCTTTGGCTTCTCGAGACGCTTCTCCGCAACAACAAAATTCACTATTTCCCAAGGAAATTTGAATTTGTTCTTTGGATAGGCCTCATCCCACGCTAAACACTCGTACATTGTGATTGAAAAGGAAAAGATGTCACTTGGCTTTTTGTATTTACGCTTATTTAAGACCTCAGGAGCCATATACATTGGTGTTCCTACACCTTTAGTGAATGTCATGTTTGTCATCAGTAAATTCACATTTCTTGATGATCCAAAATCAGTGAGTTTTGCATTAATGCTGACGTTTTCTTCATTGGAAAACACTAAAATGTTGTCTGGTTTAATGTCTCTGTGTAATATCCCATTTTCATGTAAATACAAAATTCCTTTGGAAGCGTCCAAACAAACTTTCCGTCGTACTTTCATTGAGAATGGCGCTACCCCCTTTCTATTTATAACATCATTTAACGACCCAAATTGAGCAAATTCAGTGACCATACAGATCTTATTTGGGATAAATACAGCGCCATAGAAATACACAATAAATTCACTTCGAAACTTTTCAAGCATCGAAACTTCATTCTCAAACTCTTTAAGAGAAGATTTGGTCTGCCCAACTTCTTTCATTTTTTTAATGGCAACGTCATGCTCACGATATGTCCCTTTATACACTACACCAAAACTCCCTTCGCCAAGCTTTTTAGTCTCTCGGAGTTCTTTTGGATCAAGTTTAGAGGAGATTTCAGTGTTTGCTGTTAACTTGATGACATTCAAAATTTCTGGCTTGTTATTCAAAGGTTTTGCGATTAAAACGAATTCGCTTGTAATGTGACTCGTGTAATTTGGCGTTAAAATGATTTCAAATTCACACGCTTTTTGTTTGTGTAACATGACAATCTGCGGAGTCACTTGAAGACTGTAACTCTCTTCGCTTGTGTTGGTCGATATTTGTAATTTGACTAATTTGTACTTTGTGCTTCCTACACAGAACAATTGACGTGACGGAAGACCAACTTGGATCTCAGAAAGTTCTTCGTTGAAGTCCAAAGACCTTCTATTCACAACAATTCCTCCGAGTAATTCAGTGAATTTGATATTAGTTTTAGACATATTGAATAGAGTGGTAGTCCTTTTAATAGCATTTTTGTGGACCTGTGCGAATACAAATTTGGTGGCGAAGAAGACCAAAACACTCAAAATTGAGATACAAAAGAAAACAAAGAGAACAAGCAACAAAACAACCCACCAGACCACTTCCTTTTGACAAAATGTTCCTTTTTCATCAGGAGAATACCAAAATTTGCATTTTGAACATTTTGAGTGTTTAATTGCAACACAGTGTGGTATCGAATCCAACGACAAACACACTTCATTTGACAGAACAAAGTCATCATCACATGAAGTACACTTCGTTTCCATGTCACATGTTTTACACGTTGAATCACACTTTGCACATTGATTTGTTTTGAATGTGTAATATCCAGGAGAACAAGATGTGCATCCAAGTGTAGATGTGATATTCACAGCACACCCAACTATTATGTTTTGTGGCTCACACTTATTCTCATTTGTCATGAAATAAGTGTCTTGACATGTAATACATGACCCAGATTTTTGACATGTTGCACACGATTCATCACATTCATCACAGTCAAGCCCAACACGATAAAATCCGTCTAAACACTGGTAACACCCTTGACTTACTGTGGAAAGCTTTTGACACTTTTTAGCTAAATTGTCATTGGAGTCACATTGATGAGATGTTGTTAAGTAATGACCCTCTATACATGATGTGCATGTAGAACTGTTCACTACACACGAAGAACAATTTAAATCACACTTTTGACATAACATGTTGGTGTCTAGATACTCATCTTTATTACATTGTAAACAGACTCCATTGGCTATATACAAACAGTTGGTGGGAAGTTCACATCTTTTATTGTTTAAGATCAATCCTTCCTCACATGCAACACACCGGGAATTGACATAAAGTGTACAACTAGATATTAATTTATCATCACTTATACATTGCCCATTTGTATCGTTTTTATTATTACACTTAGTAAGTACACATTTTGTTCGACTATCATTTGGGTTATACCCATATTCACATTGTGTGCAGAGGCTATTATAACACGACTTACAATTTTCAATTTGAGATGAACATAAAACACACAGATTTTCAAAGAGGAAAGAATCGGCATTACATGAAATTATGTGTTGAGTAATCAATTCTGTATGTTCCGTTGTGCTGTTACATATGCCATTTATATTACTTAAATTCATTTCACATATTTCACACGATGATTTGGCATTTTGTAATACACAATGTGCATCCTTATTTGAAACACATGTTGACAATCCACCACTTCTTTGAATATTAAAGTAGTCTTGACATACAAAACAAATATTTTTGTCATGATCAAATTTACACCCATTAATTTCGTTTAACTCGCAAGTTGTATTATCAACACTTAAATGATATTCATCTTGACAATACGAACATTTATCAGTTGAACCTTGTGCACATAAACCACAATTGGCGACCTCACAATGAACACATACTGAGTTGATTAAAACCCCATCACACTCACCATTAATAATACAAGTAAATAAATTACTTTGAAACATCCCAATGACGCAATGATGGTTAGTGTAGTTAAACTGATTATCTGTTATTATAACAACAGTTTTTGCAAGATTAAAAATTTGAACAGTAAGCATTTGACTGTCTTTGGTATATATAACAAGAGAGTCCGCAAAGTACATAGAAAACATCCTATTCCCAACAAGAAGTGAGTTGTCTTCATCTTTGTTAAATTTAGGTGAATTTTTTGGTTTGACATTTTCAAAGTAAATTTGTGAGACGTTTTTAAAAGGAGTGATAAAACACTCTTCGGAGACACAAGGACAGTGATTACCAAAATACGTCCCAGTCGAGAGGTCAGAAGACGCCAAAATACAAAAGACTTTCTGTGATGACGTCCCAATTCTTAACAATTTTCCGTCTTCGAGAAGGGTGTAACTCACTTTAATATTAGATAATAAAGTAATTTTTGTTGAAGAAGAAATCAAATCAAATGGAGTCTGCATTGTCACACTGTCAATTATTAACGACATCACCGTGTTGGCAATGAAAATAGGAGGCGTTTTGAGAGTCCTTTGATTTACTGTTAATGTGTATATAATGGCATCTAATGTGTTTGCTCTGATCCAACTATTTCCACTTATATTATAATTAACATCTAAAATTCCACTTTTAGTTTTAAAAGAATCAACAGAAAGAGAAGGCTGATAATCATCGGAGTTTATTGTTAAAGTATTCCCCGCTGAATAAATATAAAAAGTGTTCGCTACTATTATTGCTTTGTCGTTAATGGTAACTGGAGAATTTTTCTGAATTGTAAAATCTTCTTTGGTGTAAAGTTTCGATTGATTATACATAAACAAAGAAATGTAATAAGCTGTATATGACGTTAAATTGATAGCACTTTCATTGTAAATAGTTATCATTGCATTACTTTGATTTGGTGAAGTGATATTTGTATTTAGAATGGATTTGTTTTTCATGATTAATTGGCCCGGACCACTGAATTTCAATTCGTTACACAACAACAAAGCACTTTCAGTTAACTCTAATTTACCATTTGTGGTTATAGTAAAGGTAATAGATGAATTGTAACAATATTCAGTTGTTACAATATTTGCATTTAGTGTTGAAGTTGTTGGGCACACTCCACTCGCGAAATATATTACTCCAAAGAGTAACAAAAGATTCATATTTTATCAAATGGTTTTCGAGTTGTATTTTAATATTTAAGTAGTTTCAAAAACCAAAACATTTTTTTTGTTCTGTGGATTTTCTTTCTTGTTTGTCTTTAAACTCAAAGTCTCAACACATTTGTTAACAAAAATGTCAAAGATTAAAATAAAGAATGGACTTTTGGGAATCATCGAAAAATCTTTATATTATATTAGTTATATTTTATTATAAATTTTTTCATTCAATTTTTTATTTGTATTAAGAAAACTCTGGTGTAATCGAATATTCTAAAATGTTTATTATAGTTTATATTATTATTATCTAATAGTATATAAAATACACAGATTAAACCTGTAAATGAGAACTAATTTACCTAAGATATCAATATTAAAAATTAAACACACAATCAATGACTAATTCATCATAATAATTAATGAAATCGTTCCATTTAATACATTTGAAATAATTGACTTGTATGACAATACAAAATTACATTAACAATTGTTACTACTATTTTCAAGTATTAGCATGTTCTTTGGTAAAACTATAAGTTTTTTCTTTCCATCGTTTTCACCAATGAACTGAACAATTTCCTTTCCAAGCTTTTCAATGAGTTTCCTGTCAAAAACGATTTGGTTTTGCCAGTAAATTGCAGTGATATACTCTTCCTTGAGCGTCCCACGTTTACCACCACATTCTTCTGTTTGAACAAAGAACCCAAGCTCTCTAACTAAGTCGACTAAGAACTGCAGCGTCTCAATGAACACGTTAGTGTTCTTTCTTCTCTCTGCCGTCTTCCCAGAGACTCCATTTGCAATATCAAGTGAAACTCTTTGTATGCATCTTTCTCTGATGTGTCTCCCAACATCAATGTCTTCGTTGTCATTCCACATCTTTTCAATAGTCATAAACTGTTCAAAGACTGTTGCTCGCTTGTTTGGAAAGCGAAGAGATATGTTGTAGTGATTGTTGATGAGAAAGAGTAATACCATTGATTCGTAGACTTGGTTGTTTCGGACTTCAATGAACCGCATTTGACGTTGAGGAAAGTCACGAAGTAGAGAGGACATGGATCTGATAGAGTAAATACAGTTGGCTTTTTATAGGGCGTTCCATGTTTTTAATGTTTTTTTTTCGACGCAACACCTCTTAAAATCCAAAATAGATTTATTTATACTTTATTGTTTTTTTACACAACAACTTTAGAATACTATTGGCGATATTTGGGTGTTTTATGAACCAAATTTTAAGGAAATTGACGTTATGTTATGTTGTTGAGTATTTTGAACCAATTACAACAGCAAAAATGGAGGTTTTTGTGGAATTTCATTTGAAAATTGTTGGGATTATTGGGAATTAAGAACTACCACCAAAAAATCTACAAATTGTAGTTGAAAAGGAAAATTGCACAGTTACCATTTAAAGTGACAAATTTTGGGTTTACTACCATATAAATACAAGATTCAAGACTTTTAATAAGAAAAACACAATGTATTAATGTTAAAAAATACCAAAAAAACATAATGAATAAATAAAAAAATAAATAAATAAAATTATTCAATTGGGCTTTTTTATTGGTCTTGTTTTAAAACAAGTAACGAGTTTAATACAATATTAACTCCTCTTTTTAATCAAACATGAAAAGATTTCAATTGTTTAACTTGTTTGAAGTTTTTCGAACTTTTTTAAACAAATTAATCGCGATACTTCGGGAATTTTTCATAATAGGTAATGATTATTTTTTTTGCCAATCAAACAAGAACTTTAATTGGGGGGTCAAATAAATAACATAAATATCGGAGATGTTTATCAACTCTGTGGTAATTAAAGCAATTAATTGTCTATATAATCATATTATTTAACACAATTTATCAACAATAATGATATATTGTTTACATCTGGCTCTCTTAACAATTTCAAATATTTATTTTTTTTTCAAATATCCAGTTTTATATAGTTAAATTCTAATAAATTGTAGTTAACATATAGATTGTTTTAAATTTTTTAATTTGTAATTTGCATTTTATTTGGTTTTCCAAAAAAATTTTTTGCTTGAAATTGTTGTAGATATTAAAAAGTCCTGTTTTTATACGCGAATTGTATTAAATAATATCAACAATCTAAGAAAACAACAATTATCAATTTTATTGGACCAGTGTTTTACCAGCAATTCATCTTCAAATTTTCTTTAAAAAGTCACTCGATCTAGAAATAGATAAAGTTTTTCAATTGATGATTCTATTTTGTATTTTTTTGAAATATAATGCTAAAATTGGGCTTTTATCCCCAAATATTCTATTTTTGTAAACCCCGACAAAAATGCAATGCCTTTTTTGTTTATACAAAAAATATTGTTTTTAAAAATCTTTAAAAAAGTTACTAAAAAAATAGTGTGATCAATTATGTTTTTTGTTTCCAAAAATTGAAATTATGTACACTTTGAATTTATTTTAATTGTTTTTAATAGTAAATAATATATTATATTAAATAGTTTAAAGAAAATAATTTATTACTATTAATATTTTTTCATACTATTATAAGTCAATATAAAAACTATTTGTTTAAGTCAAAACATCAAATTTTTTCTATAGTATAATATCATTTAAATTAATTCATTTATTTTTCTAAAAATACGACAGTTTTTAAAAATATAAAAATATTTAAAAACAGAATAGCTATTAACAAATAATAAATTAACAAATAAAATATGATTTATTTTATAAAAGAACTTTTTTAATTAAAATATTAAAAAAATAATTGTTTTGTTTATTATTTTTATTATCAAATAAATAAAAAATGGGTTTTAAATAATTAAAAAAATAGTTTATAATTGATACAGTATAAAAAAAGTAATAGAAGAACAATATTTTAAGTGTCGAATATACAGAACATATATTATACTTCTTTTATTAAAAGTGATGATTTAATTGGTTACTGAAACCAAATTAATAAATGAATAACATTGTCAAAATAACAAAGCGATTGATTGTGTTTGATTAAAAAGTATGACAACTCAAGAAGATATTAATTATTCGTTTTATTTTTTTGGTGATGGCAAGCCATCATGAATTATTATTAATACGGGTGGAAAAATGAGAAATGAATGAATTTACATGAAATAATAATTAATGATTTTGTTTTTATTGTTAAATAGTAAACAATGAAGTCATTATAAGTCAAAGGCATATTCAAAAAATCCAGAAACAGATACAATGAAATGTAATAACAATCTTTCATTTTTTATATTTAAATTATTAAAATGAATTAAACAAACAGAAAGATAGATTTGTGGTAGATTGTTATTATTTTTAAGTTAAAATATAAACAAATGTTTATTTAAAAATCACCATATGTATAATCAAAAGACTTTGAATCTTATATAAAAAATGATGTTGAAGTTCTAAACAACATCAAATAATGAAGGTTGCAGATTATATTTTGGTGTATGATTAATTTGTTTTTGAATTTAAACAAAACAACAAAACAGAAGTAACAAAGAGTAAGTTGCAAATATTTAAAATGATCAAATATTACAAAATGGCTTATTGATAATGACAAAAATAACATTTTTAATTAAAAAATTGACATATAAAGAAAATTGTGACAAATAATATGTTTGTTGATATTTCGAAAAAAGAAATAAATGTCTTTTTATAACAATTTATTATTTATTTGTTGTGCAATTGTTTCCAAATTTGTTTAATATTTATGTTGGATCCAAACAAATTACTTTTTATGTTTGAATATTTTTTATAATTTGAATGAACAACTTACAACATTTTTAAAACATTGAACACGTTTTGATAAATGAAAAATTTGGTTTTAACTTGATAATTATTGTTTGAATTTTGCTTGTTGTTGTATGTATATTCAAATTTATAACTTAATTGTTTTTTCTGAATTTACAAAAGTTGTTTTAAACATTAATTAAATTATCCAATTATAAACCAATATTAAAAACCATCAAATAATTGTCAAATTATTTTTTTAAAACAAACGTCTATTTTAAAAAAAGTCAACATTGTTATTTCCACTGTATTAATATATTTTACAATCATTATTTAAATTTCAAAAAAATAGTTACATAAATCACCAATTTCAATTGTTTTCAAAAAGCTCTTGTTTCAAATTAACATTTATGTTTTTTCATACCAAAGCAAATGTTATTGATGAGATGTAAATAGACAATTGCTGAAAAACTCATATGATTTTTGATAAAGTTATTTTACAGTTAAAAATAAGAGCAATAAGTTCCTAAACAATAAAAATCAAAAATATTTACACTTTTTAACACTGAATACCTCAAATTTTTTATTAAAAAAATCTATCAATCATATTAATTTTCTTGCAATCCAAAATGGTGTTTAACCAGATTGGGATAATATCCAAAATTACCTTAAATATACCACAACAATAAACCCGAAAAAACAAGCAAATTTGATATTAAAAATTGAATAGAAAAACGATACAAATAACTTCCATTACTCTATAAATGTAATTGTATTTTTACACTGAGTCGTGTCATTCGCAAGTCCGGCTACTAATTCCCCAATTTCAAACGTAACAACCCTTCTGTCTTTTAACACGCTCATCAATTTCTGGTGTATGACTTTGCCCAACTCCAAAATTCCTTTTTTATCAGTCACAAATTTTCCATCATAAAAAACGCTCCTAATCTTCTCGGACTGTATGGACTTCATTGAGTTTTTCGAAAGTTTTGAATTGAAAAAATACCCAAATTCAAGGCACGAATCAAACACAAAGTTCCTAATAAAAGCACTCATGTTCTTATTAAATCGTCTTTTAATTGTTTGCAGTGGAATTCCTTTCACCATTTCTTCGTTTTTGATTGCCTCACATCTTTTGATCGCGAAATTGAGGACGTCGACTCTTGAAGCTTGAGTCTCCAAGAAACTCAGAATTGGAATCGTTGAAGTGCGCGATGAATATTTCTTTGGGCGTTTAATAGTGATTTTCGCGTGTTTGTTCAAGATGTAGAGCAAAAAGCATTGTTGAAAAGTTGTTTGTTCCTTTTGCTGGTGTTCTTTAGCAGTGTTAATTGATACTTTTTCGGTTTTAGGGAATAACTCAGAGCTCATCCGTTTTGTTCTTATTAAGATTAAAGTCGTTTAAATTACTAAATGCCAATACAGAATATAGGTGAAGAGCTATTTATGTGCTTATTTGGACAAAAATGTCACAAAAGTTATCTTTCTTCGTTAACTGCGTTCTTTCAAAATAAATTCAATGGCTCAAATTACACCAATCAAGTTCTTGAAAACAATTCAAGTATTGAAACCCGCTTTTGGGCAGGAATAAGACTCACAATTCAATCAACTTAATTAATGTACTTTTCTACGAATAGTTTTTTCATTGTGTTTTTTTGGATATTATGAGGAATGGGCAACTCTTGCGGTTATTGGTTTAATTCGTTTTATTACAGACGCTTTCCCGTTGCATTGTACAAAGGTGTTAGAATTAATAATTGATATGCTAATACGCCGAATGGCTCTTTATATTTTTGTATTCAATTTCTAAACTTAGAAAATGCTATAAAGTTGTTTTTAGTGGAAAACAGTTATATGTTAATTGTAAAGAAATGGACCTTCGTTAAATTGTAAATTGGTTGTTTCAAACAATTTTATTATTATTTTTTTTAGTGATAACGCCAATTATAGATGTCTAAAATACGAACTATTTCAATTTATAATAAATAATATAATTATAATAAACAAATCAATTTTATAAAACCATGAAGATCAATATCATAACCAAATGCAACAAGAAAATTTGAATTAGTGGCAACAACGAAATGTTGGTGGCCAACACAAAATAATATGAAGATATAGTTACGCAGTTTGTTTTTTTGAAAATCGTCGCACTTGAATCCAAGAAAAATGCGTAACAATTTAGTTATTTACTGGTAAATATACACAAATATTACAACCGACTGTAACCCAAATTATGTTTCATATAACGATTTTTACGCAGTTAACTCTGTTGATAAAAAAAATGGTCTAAAGCATAAAAATATTTTTGAAACCCACTAAATTAGAAAACATAAATCTTTACATATTGTTATTTTCATACCTTTTAATCTTTTTATAATGAAGAAAATTAAATGTTAATTAACTTTTAAAGTACAAGTGTGAAAATTAATGTTTCCAGTTCAATAATTGGGGGTGTTTTTCAAAAAATATTATTAAATCAATTTCATCATAAAGTTCAATCAATAAGTTCAATATGTCATTATTATGAATTATAGGATAATATATTTAATGTGTGTATACGGTTTAAGTAATGTGAAATTTAAAGTTGATATTTGATTTCTTTTCGCCTGAAATAAGATTAAAACGTGTTATTTGTCATGATTTTTCGAAAAAAAGTTTAAAGTAGAGTACCCAAAAACTTTCAAATAAGCGCCAAGTTAAAAAATGTGATAATAATACCGTATTTATCGAAATTTTAACTGGAATATAAAAAACAAATTATTAATTCATGGTTTATCATACTTTGGACGCTTTGAATAAAGAGGCTGTTATTTATCTAATAAAAATTAATAATAATTGATTAATATTTAATTAAATGCAAACAATAATAATATTATTTGTATTTTATAGGGGCGGTGTAAAACAGTATATATTTATTTTTGGCCTCAGTTTGTGTCGGATTCATAATTACCAAGCCTTTAACATCATTTTAATACCAAACTTGAAGATTATACAATTCTATTCATTTACATGTCCTCTACGAGATTATTTAATACAATTAAGGTGAAAAAATTCAAGTGGCTCTCGTTCGTTAAAAAGTTAATACCCTTTACAAAAAGTTAAAATTATTAACATACGAATTTCAACATCTATTTACTGGCCACAACTTGAGATAGTGTCAAGACATTAATTGTACCTTGATATTCGAGCAAACAATATATTATAACAACAATCTTATTACCCCAATTCGATTTTTTAAAACAAAAAAATTGGGGTTTTGAAGGAAAAAAATATTTATCATGTTTTTAATCAAAAGAATTGAAATAAATTTCTGTAAATCAACAATTTATATTAAATTTGTTATAACAACAATGTCATTATTTGTTATTATTAATACAATCATCTCAGTTATTAAAAGGGTTAACATTTTGTATGTCAATATAGACCAAAAACCATGTACATAAGTTGCATATTTCATTTAAGCCCAAAAACATTTTATTTTTTTTATTAAAACCATTTAAATAACAATTAAGAGTTATTTATAATATCATAATCTTCATTTTATGTTGTAAACCAAAGTTCATTAGAATTTAATTGAAATAACACGTTTATTTCTTAATGTGTTAAAACACATGTAGAACAAATTAAGTCTTAGGTATCCAATTGAATTATTTAAATTGTGTGTTTTTTAATTAAATAAGCGTAACTTGCGTACTCAGATATCAACAACACTCTCTTATAAGTTATAACATATACAATAATAACAATAAAAAAATCTTTGTTACTCTTAAAGACGTTACAATTATACATTGTTATTTCTGTAAAAATTAACATCAAAAATTCAATAAATATACTGCACATCGACATCCTCATCAAAACACTTTTCACCAACACGATTTACACTTTTAGGAACAACAACTGTCTTCAGTGATATACATCCTTTGAAACATTTATCTCCCAAAGTTTTGACACTCTCAGGTATATACACTCGACTCAACGAACTGCACCCACAAAAACTTTCCGACCCAATCAACTTGACGTGTAGTGGTATTTCGACTCTTTTCAATTGACAACACCCCGAAAAACACAGTGGTTTTATTAACTCGACTTTAAATGGTATTTCAACCTTTTTGAGTGCACTACAGTTCCTGAAGCACTCTCTTCCTATTGCAACGATTCTTTGCGACATACGGACTTTTCCAAGATTTTTGCAGTTCTTAAAACACGAGTCTCCAATTAAAGTGACTTGCGTTGGGATACTAATTCGACTAAGAAGACTGCAGTCTGAGAAACAATTACTTGGGATCTCTAAAATACTTTCTGGCAACTCTATTTGCTTTAAAGACGCACAAAACGAGAAGCAAAAATTTCCAAGTTGATACAAAGATGGTGGCAATACTATTGTTGTGAGCAACACGTTATTAGCAAAGCAGTGTGGTCCAATTTGTTCAACACAACTTGGGAGTGTTATCTGTGGTATACTTCTACAGTTATTAAAGCAACTTTCAGGCACCAATTTCAGTGTTTTAGGCAGTGCAATGTCGACTAAAGCAACACAGCCTTTAAAAACGGCATATTCAAGAAGTGTTATAGTGTCGGGTAGTATTATAGAAGTCAACGAACTACAAGACGAAAACGTTTCAGAGCACAAAACGTCGATTGTAGTTGGCAGAGTGACTGCAAGTAAGTTGGAGCAACACGAGAAGCAACTTTCACCTATTGATGTGACACTATTTGGAAGGAAAAGTGATGAGATTGAACCACACTTTTGAAAACAGCCTTTTTGGATGACTTTTAAAGTATCGAGAAACATAATTTGACTGAGTGAAGTGCAGTTTGAAAAACACAAACACCCAAGTTGAGTGACTTTGTAAGGAATCGAAAATGTCTTGAATTTCTCATTTGCAAAAAGACCTTCTCCAAAGGTTCTTATGACATTTGGAATGGCAGAACCATACCCGTTTCTGTCTTCTAAAGTGTAACACACGTTTTTGTAGTCGACACTTCCGTGGTTGGTCTGGAGGGAAGAGGAGTATGAGACTAAATACCAAACTACTATTTTATAGAAAGTCTCTCTCTTTGGTAAACCCTTTTTTGAGTAATTTTTAAGACGATTTTTAGAACGTGTCTCATTCAAAGGAACTACAGAAGGTTCTAAAGTGTTCCCAAAAGTCTCATCTAATTCACTGTATACGTGTAAAGTTTCAACATGTGGAAATATGTGACGGTTGTGTCGAGTAAGCGGAATTGGATTGAAATGGAAATTGGAAGGAAAGTTCAAATATTTCTTGCTGACAGATTCAAGTGCTAAAAAATCTGTTTGTGAGTACAAATACTGTGAAACCACTGTGATGTGGAAGACGTCCAAATGAGTTACCATGGATTAAATAAATAGTTTAGTATTATTATACTCAAACTAATATTTTAATTAAATTTTACTATAATAATTAATTAATTAATTGTTATTAGTTTTGTATATATTATTATTATATATAATATGTAGTAGTTAATTAATTAATAAACGAAGTAACTTAGTATAGTTTTTATTGTAATAATAAAAATATTATATATTTTAATTAATATTAACTTTTTTAGTAAATAATAAGTTATAATTTAATAATAATTAATATGTAAATAGTAAATATATGATAAAATTTATTATTTTAATTTCAACCATCAATTTGAAGAATAAACGAATTGTGTAATTTAAAATTAGAAAGTTATAATATTCCACATAATCTTTATATTTTGGTATGTTAAATTATCTTAATTTAGATAACGAGAAAGGAAAAAAGATTCAAAAAACAAATATAAAAATAACTTGTTTTGTATTTTTTAAAAAGCGAAAAACACTTTTCAACATTGAAAGATCCAAATTTATTTTCAGTTTTGTCGACTCGTTTCTAAGTTTTGTTTTGGTCTGATGAAGTTCTCAAAATTAGAACAAGACTCATAAATTTTTCACAAAAGGGTAAAAAGAGGGTTTTTTATATAGTAACCACAGCCATTTTATTTTTGTGAGTCAAAGTTTTTTATTTTTTTGGTCTGTTTTTGTTGTTGAATTTTTTATGAGTCTTACTATTCAATGTTTTCAGTCTTTTTCCACTTGAAATTTTTGGTAACTAGCAAATTCAAATAGTTTCATAATAGTAAGTAACTGGTTGATGTTTTTATTTAATCGATGATGAATTATCTATAAAAACAAACTTTTTTCAAAAACAGTTGTTAAAAATCTATCAATCCCGATGTTATCCACCAAAAACAAGTTTGAAATACCCAAATTGATTTGCATTAAAAACGGTTTTCAATTATACTTTTGAAAAACACCAGCCAAATATGAATAATGTTAGCCATTGTTGTTTATTTATATTAATTAGTGATAAAAATGTGTATATATTCGAAGTGAATAGAATGGAGGAAACCAATACTCCCAAATTGCGTCCTGAAAACAAATAAAATACATTTGTGTTGCTTTTTCATTCCTCTTTGACAAAATAAAATGCTATTTCTGGCTTTGTTGTTATGAACTAAATTATAATCGCGTTTACAATCATCCGGAAGTTTCTTCAAGAGATTTTTTGAATAAAAAACACAGTTATCAACAATTATTTAAACCAAATAAATAACGAAAAAAACTGTTAACAAAAATTGGGCTTTTACGGTTCGTTGGTTTCAAGTTCATTTGTTTATCCACAAAGCCCGTTATTCAGCTGAATATTAGTGGTTTAATGTTAAAATATGCTTTCATAAGTCTATTGCCGCAGTATTTGCGTTTCTTACAAAAACATTTTAAAAAGTTCGAATGGCCTTTTATTATTTTTTGAAATAGTTTAAATACAAATAATATGAAAAATGCAAACAACTTCTATTTTATTTTTAGTGTCTTCACGTGTCGATTATTACAAGGAATGCATCACTAAAACTGTTTTTTGGTGTTTAACGAGGCTGCAATTGCCATTTAGGCTTTTTATACAACTATTCAAAACCACATTCAACAACATCCACCAGATCTTCTAATGTTTTTTGGCAAAGAAGGAACCGTTTTTCGCTTCTTTTTGTCTCTTCATTTACTATGATGATCCCAAAAGTGCAGCAAAAGGAGTTCTAATTTATTTATAAGTAACATTTTACTTTTCCACAATAGTTCGTCAAATCCGTAATGGAAATGTGCAACCCAATCGCGAATACATTCGTATATTTTTGCTTTAGGAAATCATTCGTTCTGTCATGGCTTTCTAACAGTGGCTGTGACAATTCCGTACAACCTGCCACAAGAAGGCGCTGTTTTCCACATCCCCCACTTCCACAATGAGGTGTTTTCACCAAAGGATATAAACGCCATTATCCCGCCAAAAAATGCTTTAAATGAGAAAATGAATAAGTTCAACCAAAAAAGAATTTCATTTTTTCATTTCGACTAAAAATACAACACCACAAGTGCTCAATAAAAAGGCTTGTTATCTCTCTATTCCATCCATCAATGTCTTTCATGTACAAGTACCCAAGCAGTTTCTGTGTCGAGGTCTACGGCCAGACCAAGCTGGAAAAGCGCAAACAAGACGAGATGAAGTACACACAAAAGAAGAGAGAAATGCGAGACCTTGAGTCATACCAACAAGCACTTCTGCTTGCTCTTCTCAACACGAATTTTGGCTTTTCAATCGAGCACCCCGGAAAGAAGTCGAAAGTGACGGCGACATCCCCACGACTCGTCTCGCTCTTTTCTGGCAACGAAGAAATTGAATTGGGAAAAGTGGCTAAAGAACAGTGCGAACTGGTGATGGAGGAAGAAATAAAAAAGGGTCTTGGACAAGCTACTGCTTTAAGACGGTTTGAGAAGAACAAAAGAGTGTTCACACAAAATTTACTCTTTGACATCTGCTCAGAGGTCGGGTTTTACCTCGAGAGTAAGCCGTCGAGAAAGTCGAAAAAGTCAAAACAAATTGAACGAATAAGAAAGATCGGGATCAACGGGAAGACAGTCTTCACACAAGACGACATAGTTCTCATTGGAAAAAAACTGAACGAAATCCTCATACAAAAAATAGTGAAGGAGAAAAAGTGCGTTTTTGCTGCGGGGGAGTTCAACGTCTTCAACGCGTTCAAAAAGGAGAAGGCAGAAAGAAAAAACAATTCTTGTTAAATAGCACAAAGCCAATAAGTCATCTTACTATATTTGGCGAAGAACAATAGATCGTAAATTAGGTATTTTTAGATATTTATTTACTGGTTTATTATGGTTTGATTGGACTAAATAATAATATCAAAAATAAAACGGTTACCAATTTATATTTTATTTGCTCAACACTTCGAAATATCTAAATTTCGTTATAATAAAAAAGTCCATGTGGATTGAAATTATAATTTCTAACATTTTCAAACTTTTTTAAATACCAAAATAATTGTTGGTATTAAATAAAAATTGTGTCGAATTTATTTTGATTCATATCATAACATAATATTCCAATTATTAATAAATATAGTTTTTAAAGTCATTAACAAAATCAATACTATTTATTGTTTATTTTTAAAAACGTTTTTTTGTCAATTTGTCATTTGGTTTGTTGTTTTTCGTAAATGAAAGCGTTGACCAATTTTAGCTGTAAAAAGAATGCGAAAATAGAAAATTGAATAACTCGTAAGAAAAATCTGATTTTTATTTGGAATTGTTTGGTTATTTGTATTTTTGTATATTGTTAATAACAAATTTGTTGAATATTCTTCAATTTTACAAAAATTAAATGAAATTATTTTGAAATCTTTTTTATTTCATACACTTTGTGGAAAAAACAAAACAAAAAAATTACACTTTTTATAACTATTTCAAACCAAAACATTTCAAAACAAATTCTGGATATTTTGTCATAATTTTTGTTTTTCATATTAACAATATAATTAAACAATTCGAAAAAAAACAACCAATTTTTTTTTGTTTTTTAATTAAACATAAAAATGTAACCTTTTAATTTAAATTTGTTTTTTTTAAATAGCAAGAAAATTATTTATCATTCGAATAATGAAGTAGTTCATTATAGTTTTTAATGTAAGTGTTTTAAATCGATAAATTGATTGAGTTGTATTGTGGTTTTTAAGTTACAATTAACAGGAAGAATAAAAAAAACTGTTAACTTTCTTTTTAATAATTACAAATGATAAAATTTAAATAAAAAGGACAATATAATTAGAATGTCAGAAAAAAACTAAACATTGAATGATTAGTTTTTAAGGTCAACAGCATTAAATATTGTTTTATATTAATTTAATACCATAAAATCTTGTAAAAGCTTATATATCTTCTGTGATGCTTATTTATCATTAGACAATGATTTAATTTAATATTTAATACAGATGTGGTACTAAGGTTTCGACCAGGACCATGGTTTCGACTAATATTTAATAATTTTTATACCATTAAAAAAAACTAAATATTAAAAGTTATATTTGGACGATGTTTTAAAAATAAATTAAAAAATTGTTCATTACTATTCAAATAGTATTTAAATTATAAGTCGAAACCTTGGTACTGGTTGAAACTTTAGTCCCACATCTGTAATACGAATCGTTTGAACAATTAATTAAATAAAATCAATTTTTTAAATGGTATTTTAATATTAAATTGAATCGTTATCCAAAATAAATAAAATTTTAAAAATTATTATTATAGGAAATGTTATCACAACTTTTTATTTTCTTCAAATTTGTATATTCTAAAAATGATTTTATTAAACATAAACTTTTTGGTTTTTTAATTAAAAACAAATAATAACATTATAATTACTATAAAATACAAAAATTGGTTGATTAAAACAACACAACCAAGTTATATTATTATACATTTTAATATCATATAAAGAGAGGTGAGTTAAATTAAATATAAATATTTAAACATTTTTTTCTGGGACCTACATTGACCACCACCACCACCTCTTAAAATAGACTATTTTTTCTATTTGATATAATATTCAAATTAAAATTATAGTAAATAGGAAACTGGGATAATATTAGGTCTGGTTCCCGAATTCAAAAAATGCCGAAAATTCACCTCGAGTCAGTGGAAACCGAGTGAGACGGAGCATTGAAAAGAAGGCTCATAAAGACGCACTCAAACAGTCTGTTTGTGCACCGTTTCACCCACTTTCCAAGTCCTCCCTTGGCGCGGATCCCCCCTGACCCCCCCGCAAGCGGGGGAACCACATCCGCGTCCACACAGTACGGACAAGGAAAGTGGGTGACATGGGGACGCACAAACAGTGGCTGAAAAATGGACTCCCTTTAAAAAACACTCGCGGCAAATATTATTTTTTGGTAAAGGTGGTGGTGGTGGTCAATGTAGGTCCCTTTTTTTCTTATTCTTTTTTTTAAAACAAAATACAATATAAAGTTCATCACAAAATGGTCGACCACCATAAAATTGTCGTACGGCTTTTAAAACAATTTATTTACACAAAAGATTCACTTTGAAAAATGATTGTTTTGGAAAATTCAATACAAAGGACTTTTTGTTCTGTTTTGTTCTTTTTGACTTTTCTTTACGAAGATATTTTCATAAATGATTTTTTTATTGATTAAATTCGAATCGTTATTCTGAAATTGATTTTTGTTATTGACAATGTTGTTATTTATCTTTGTTTTGTCATAAATAGTAAAATATAGTTTTTATAGTTTTATTAACAGTTGATAATTATTGAACTTGGTTTATTCATTTAATGTTCGTAAAAATAGAGCACAATACGTACCATCTTATCTTTGATATACCGTGTTGACTGTACAATTATTTTTCTGTCAATTGTCTTATTATATTAAATGAATCATTTGAATATTAAGATTTCTAAACTCAACTGTGTATATTCAATATAAAAAACGAACTTATATTATTTTTTAAAGTTCGTTTTTTGATGTTTTTATCAAAAGTCAATTAAAATTAATAAAAGACATACACAAGTGTTATGAATGAGGACTTGATCATAGTTTGTTTCAGTGGCATCTGTGATAAACTATTAGTATTATAGATAATCAAGTTGTTGTTCAACGAAACAATTTTTGGTTTTTTTATTTTTTGTGAATAATTTGTTAAATTGAATAATAATTAATTTTATTAAAATTATTAAAACATTATTGATTAAAACAGCTTTATTGTTTAATAATAAATTATCAATAACGATATAATATCCGGTATGGTACTGTTTGATAAGGTATTTTTGTCTGAAGAAAAAACAACATTTAAACTTTTTGTTATAATTTTATCATTTAAAACCACAAAAAATAGAAAAAATGAAATGGAAGAGAAAAGTGGTTTTTTAGTACACTTTGTATTTTTGCATTTGTTTAAAACTATTGTTGATTATCATAATTAAAAAACTAAAAAAAACAAATGAAACCTTTAAAGTCTAAACCCTTAAGAAGGCTGGCTTCAAAAAAACTCAACGTTGAAGCAATCAAAATTTACAAAAGAAGACAACATACAGATAAACTTCTATCTATTGTTCTTGAAAATTTTCAAGCATTATTGAGTTGTACTTATTTGTTTGAACAATTGAAAATTGTTAATTCTCAAGACAATGGAATACCAAAAATTTCAGCTCAAAGAAAAGCTGATTTTTTTGGAGTTCCAAAAACAACAGTGATTGATAACGAGAAATATG